GCATGTAACGAAGCACAGCACATGGCAAAAACAGTGACTTGATGTCACATGAATAGTTTTCAGTTTCTGATTCATAATGTAATACCATAAGTTGTTGTGATTAAATTCCACGACTGTGTGCAGACAGATCCTACAACTTTACATTCCTCACGATGCTGAGACAAAAGTCAGAAACATCTTAACTGGGCTACAGAGGACAAACAGCTGGACTGTTGCTGACTGGTCCAAAGTTTTAATTTCTTTTGGAAATCAAGGTCCCAGAGTTTGGAGGAAGAGTGGAGAAGCAAAGAATCAATGTTGCTTAAAGTGGGATGGTTTGGGTTGCCATGTCTGCTCCTGGTGTCGGTCTATGGGGTTTACTGAAGTCCAGTCAGCTCAACCATCTACCAGATCATTTTAAAGAACTTTATGCTTCCTTCTGATGACAAACTTTACAGAGATGATGATTTCATTTCCCATCAGGCCTTGACATTTGCCTACTCTGCTAAAAATACCAAAAACAAAAAAAGGTTCAAGGACAATCATTTTCCTGCTCTTGATTGGCCAACAAACCTTTAAACTGTAGATGGAAGCAAAATCATTTTACAAATGCAACATACAAGAACAGTTGACCACAGAAAGCCTAGGAGATGTTTACCAGAGGAAGCAAATCTCTTTACTCCGCCTGACTCAAATAAACGTCCTTGACGTCAGTGGTCCCCAACCTTTTTTATTACCGCCAACCGGTCAGGACTTGGACCGGTCCGCAGCCGTGGTTTTTCTCGGTAGAGACAAAAACCACTGACTTTTGCCCCAATAACTTATAATAAATGAAATTAAACGATTCCACTTAAATTACCAGCACTTCACCTGCTGGGGTCTGAACGCACAGCTTCACAAATTCCTCCTGGTTCGCATCTGCAGAGATCTGCGCTTGTTCATCGGGCAGTTGGATCTGTCTGATCCAAACCGATCCATTAAACTTTTCTTTTTTTACCCTGTGCGTGCGAGGATTTTTTATATTTTATGTTTTATTTTGTCCGTGATTTCACTTCCCCGAAACAGACAGATGTTATGTCTGCCGCACTTCTGAGCGCTGCTCTCCTTCTGGGTGCAGGAGGGTCACTTCTTCAGATCCATTAGTTAAAGCCACAGGGTGAGTTAAGTTTAATTCTTTGCAGTGTTGGTTGTGCAGCCGCAGCGAACTGCGCATGTTACGATCTAATTAACTTGTTCACCTTTATTTATTTTCTCAAGATAAACTGCCGGCTCCTCTGTTTAGACTATAAATGGGTTCAACATTGCATTCTCTTTAGTTTTCTCTGTTCTGTATGTAATGGAGACTGAAATTAAACGCGCCATTTCTACCAAGGTTTTTGAATGGCCTTCCTAACCAGACGCTCCAAAGCGTCCGGTGTTATGCCCAGGTGTTATTCTTTAAATGTATTTAAAGAATAACTTCAGCAAATAATTGTGTGAGATCCCAGCGTGGAGCAAGTAACTCCAATCAGACCAATCAGATTGCTGTGGCACATCAATATAAAATAAATACAGAGTTGAATGGCTTCAATAATTACCCAATTCATATTATTATTTCTTCACTCTTACTTATATTTTATTTTTGATTCCACAGTCATATTTTGTTTTTCTAACTCATGTTTCAGAATTTCAATTGTAAACAATTTCAATTGTTTACAATTGAAATTGTTTACAATTGAAATTCCATATTTTTATCTGAAAAATGTTATTTTTTGAATGTGAGGTAAAACATTCATTCATCAGTCATTTTAACCCTTATCCCCCTGTGAGTATCCCCCCGAACAGGTGCCCTCACAGAG